CAGGAAAGTTGAAATCTCAAGAAGGGTCCTGACCCTTGACCTGAAATGTCAACTTTCCTGCTTCTCTGATGCTGCCTAGCCTGCTGTGTTCCTCCAGCTCCACACTGTGTTATCTTTAAAATATATCTTAATAGTTTGTTGAAATGGCAATCTTGTGTGTGTAATCTTGCAGCAGAGCCCAGATATTAGATTACTTCACATGGTCTGAGATGAACTCTTAAGCTAAGACAATCCTCCAACTAAAAAGCATTAAGGCAATTGAGCAGGAAAGAAAGACTAAAGCACTTAAAGGATGGCAATTGACAAAATGCTACTCAGAAGACTTGGTAACAAGTTGGAACCCCTGGATTTAAATGGCAAATGTCTGGATTGATAGTGAATTAATTCTCTAGCATTTTCTGCTCTTATTTATAATTTCCAGCATCCGAAGTATTTTGCTTATATTAGAACAATTATAAACTTTGCAACCTCTTCTAACTATAACCCTTCCTCCTTAATAACCATTCCCCCCTGCTTAGTGTCTTTATATCTTTCCTGATGAGTGGCATCATAATTGTCCACAATATTCTAGGTGAATCTCAGTGGGTTCCCCTTCCCAATGCCAGGAACCTTGATCAGATACAAGACACTGAATACTTTAGAATGAGGAACTCACCCAGCATCCACTCCATCCATTAGTTCCCACCCCAGGTGCCAGTAAGGAACACTGCCAGAATTTACCCTTCAAGTTAGCTGCATGGTATATCCCCTGCTCACCACTGTGTGAATGCCTCCCGCAGCATTTATTGATTAATTGCCTACTTGATGGATTCAATCGGCAGATATCTGTCCCATAACAGATCTAACAAAGCAGAAGTGGGAACATTCGACATGCTCACCCATAACCTTCTCTGCTCAATAAATAACCGCACTGTCAAACTCACCAAAGAGGAGGCTGTTAATTTTCACCCCCCAAGTAAGACTACTAATTTGCTCCAACATTCTCAGGCAAACTAGAAGTGGATAAGAAATGCACCTTTTCCATATGATTTCCAAACCCTGTGTGCGTACTTTAAACATTACAGCCTGCTGTTAGATCAAGCCGGTATTCTTAGCAAAAGGATGTAAGGATGGAATGGATTTATGTAAGGATTTATTATAGCAACAAATTCAAGAGAGAGTTGGTTCATAGCTCAAAGATACGTTTGATTGCAGGATTTTTTTATACTCAAGGATGTGAGCATTTGCGGCCCATCCCAAATTGCACTGGTCTGTTCAGTCAGGATAGATAGCAGCGTTACATTCCAAATATGAATTGAATTCAAGAATCACCTATTGCCATGTGAGCACACATACCTGAGCCTTGGATTACTAGTCCAATGGCAATACCACATCATCACTGTTTCCCCTGCAGGAGAACAGTATATGATATTTCCTGGACCAACAAGATCAACTACAATGGTTTTCCAGATGTGTACATTCTGACATAAAAACAATTCTGGAGAACTTAGCAAATGCAGCAGCATCCGTGAAGAGGGAAGCAAAGTTGATGTTTCAAGTTTGTTACAACTCTTTCTCAGAATATTCTGAAACGTAAGTCTTAACATGCAGATAAATACCGAACACAGCTCAATATGGCAGGAATGTATTTCATTTTAGTAGGTTTAAACTTATCCAATTCTAATTAATTAGTATTTTTTTAATCTTTCTTCCTCCAGGGTGATTCAGGTGGTCCTTTAATTTGCCACAACCAGTACAAAGGGATTGTGTCATTTGGCCCTGTCAAACCAAATGCCAAAATGCCTGGGATTTACACTTTCATATCAAAGAAGTACCTTGACTGGATTGAGGAAATAATTGGTGTGAAAACTTCCAATGTGACAGCTGAAGACTTGTATTCAGAGTGAGGAGTCTTCTTGCCACTCGGTTCTACTTTTAACTTGTAGAATTTCTTTGCTCAGAGAAGGATCAGCATGAGTTTGCAAATTTTCAAATTCAATAAAAATTAAAATGTGAAATTCTCAATATGAAATGAGTCATACTTCATTCACTGAATCCTCAAATAGGGTCATGAGTTGTGAAAATGGATGAACTACTTTTGTGTATGAGCATTTAAGAGGTTTCAAGATCAGGCAATAAATTTTGGTCAAGGAGTCACTTGTTGCAGTGAAGTTGGAACAAATTATTGAGTAACAGAAGCTTTACTTAACATAATAAGATAGTCAATATCCTAGTTCAATTGGTTCTTGCTTGACTCTCATGGCTGCAGAAAGCTTGTGATTTTCTCTCCCAAAGTTGAATTCAGTTCTGTGCATTGAACTTCTTTTCTCCATTTATGACTCCTGCAGCCAGGACCCTTGCTGTATTCTGATGTTGCAATCATACAAAGATCCATAGACAAGATATCCTCAACACCTAAACAACCTATTGTTAACTCTTTACTATAGAACCATTTGTCAGATTTAATAACACTTACTCTTGTTTAGTTATGTGCCCCAACTCTATTGATCCCTACACCTCAAAGCAAAGCATTCAATAAATGATTTAGGCATTTGTCCATACGTCCCTTTTGCTATTCAAACTAGCCCAAACCTTCCGGTCAGCATTGAAGCCTTTTATTTCTGATGCTAATGAAACAAAATCTCGGCTTCCTTCTGTTTCTTGGGCTGATTTTCGAATGGGGAATCCTTCTAAAGTTTTTAAGTACAGGACTCCCTGGATGAAATAATAGAGTGAGTCTATGCAGAAGCTACATACTCTTTTTACAGCATTAGCCATCACGTTTTGATCACTATCAGTTTAAATGTCTGAGAGCTTCTTAGTTGGTGTAAATATTAATGAGTGGAGTGAATGTTTGGTGTAAAACAGGGTCGGGTGAGTAAGCTGACAGGGTAAGGAAGCAGGCTGGCAGCTGGAGATGTTGGCAGGGTGATAGGTAAGTAGAGTAGCTGGCAGTAAATGAATAGAGGCAGCTGGATTGGGTTACAGGGTGGTACGGTGGTATCAATTCCTGTTACAGTGTGACTGATTTTACTAGAACCACACAGGCTCTTTATCATAAGTATACATTCATAATTAGCCCTTAATCATACAAAGTCCAAAATACACTTTAAAAGAATTCATTGCACAAAATTTTAAAAATATGTAACAAAAATATTTTTAAAAGCATACAAAAGATGTGAAAAGTGTAGAAAATGAGATTGTAAAGTTACAGACTAGCTATTAGGTTCTGCATCATAAAAACCATTGAATCTTTGAACTGACGCTGTTCTTTGTCACAAGAGCAATTTAATTGCCATTTTTTGGAGTTAACAATTCTCCAATAAACCCAAAAGTCTGAGCCCTGTCCTTTGAGATGGTGTGGCTACTTCCAGCTTCATAGGGATATTATTGGAGGTTTAACCTCATGATAGTTAGGTTATCTTACAGATACTTAACCTCAAATTGTCTGGGGATCTCATGGAAAGCAACAAGCAGCTCTGCAGATATTTGTGCTTTAAATTTCCCATCACCGTCATGCATCCCTCATTTTGTGACATATCAGCTGTCCTTACTAGGAAGTCTCCAGTTCACTCATGTCATCCTCCATTGACACCCACCACCATTCCCATTATTACAGATAGCCAGGAAGAATCAGTATTTAAGGGCTGAGTGAGATTGGAAATCAAGATTGGACAGGACAGTTGGAAAATGGGATTTGGAAGAATACAGTGTCAGCCAGAAAGAATGAAAAATCAGGATCAGGTGATGTAGGAGTGGTAATAGGTAGCAGATGTGATCTTAGTAAATTTATAAAAGAAGTTAATTTTGTGGCTCTAGTGTCATATGTCAATGACACACATCAGAAGACTAAAACAAAATACTGTGGATGCTGGAGGTCTGACACCAACACACAGAAGGTTGGAGAAACTCAGCAAGTCTGGCAACATGTGTGGAGAGAGAAACAAAGTTAATGTTTCGAGACCACTATGACTCTTCTTCAGAACACACAGAAATTCAGCTCCATACTAGCCTTGCCTATCAGCAATTGCATGTAAAATTTCTTACCTGCAATAGCTACTGTGCATTGAATTAGAATCTTCAGTCAATTCTTGCTTTAAAAAAATTGCTTCATTTACTACCCTTTAGGGAAGGGCATCTACCATGCTCACCTGATCTGGCCTACATGTGACTCCAGATACATGTCAATGTGGTTGATTCTTAATTACACTCTGAAATGACTGAGCAAGTCACTCAGTTCAGGGCTAATTAGGGATGTGCAATAAATGCTAACCTTGACAGCAACATCCACAGTCCATGAAAGAATAAAAAAAGGAAGGCATATTCTGTCAATTATGTGTCTTTACATACTACCCCTATTCTGTGTCAGTGTAATGATCCCAGCTGATGGTACGAATGGAGAAATCAAATCCCACGCTTAGATCTGGCTTGATAGATCTATAATTTTTTTTAATGTTGTGGCCAGATACTGAAACATAGACATATCGAGATACAGAGTTTCTTTAACAATGGAACAGACATTTTCTATATGAAAGAGGAAAATTTTTTAAAAATAAAACAGTTTTTATATAGGAGACAGTTTAGAAAAATCTCAACCACACAGCAAAACAAGTTTTATAACTTATAATAGCCAAGTTCTTTTCCCTGGGGTGGGGGAATCCAAATCTAGAGGGGATAAGTTTAAGGTGAGAGGGGAAAGATTTAAAATGGACCTAAGGGGCAACTTTTTCACACAGAGGGTGGTGCATGTATGGAATGAGCTGCCAGAGGAAGTGGTGCAGGCTGGTACAATTACAACATTTAGAAGGCATCTGGATGGGCAAATGAATAGGAATGGTTTAGAGGTTTATGGGACAAATATTAGCAAATGGGACTAGATTAATTTAGGATATCTGGTCAGCATGGACGAGTCAGATGGAAGGGTCTGCTTCCATGCTGTACAGCTCTATGGCTCTATTTCCAGCACCATTAATTTACTGCAATTCAAATCAAGAGAAATTATCTGTCTATGTTAATAATTTAAGTCCTACTTAATTGATTTTCCCCAGTTTGTTTCCCATGAACTCTCCGTTTCCATGCTGTATGACTCTGACTCTATAACTTCCGGCTTCTCACTTTCCCCTTTGACAATATGCTTCAACCGTTTTGAGACGTCCTTAACCCTGGCAGTAGGAAAGCAACATACTATCCTAGATTCACACTCACGGCCGCAGAATCTCCTGTCTGTGCCCCTGACAGGGGAGTCTCCTATAACAATTATTCTTTTAAATCTTGACAAACCCCGCTTAACATAAGATTCATTCTTAAGTGCCCAAAACCTGACTGCCACTTCTATTTTCTTCTATTTTCCCCTTCAACAATACCCCAAATGGAATATCTGTTTGAGAGGGGAATAGCAACTGGAGACTTCTGAACTACCTTCTTAACTTTCCCGAAAGTCACCCAACTATCTGACTGATCCTGCTGTGAAACCACCTCTCTAAATCTACTAGTCATCACACTCTGTGTTTCTTGAATGCCCTCAGTGGCATTAAGCCTAAAAAGAAGCTCTTTAAAGCAGCTTCTATATAAAAAGACTACCTATTCCTTACCCACAGATTTTAATCTTAAGGATGCAAAGTATTGAAAAAATTAAACATTTAAAATCTTAAAAATAAATTAAACACTTAGCTGAAACTCAAATCAACCGAAAAAAAGCCTTCTCCTCAAGTCCTTTACCAGTTTTCAAATCTCTGGATAAGCAAAACATACTCTCTCCAGAGCCATCAAATAATAGCCTTTTAGGCCTCTCCCACAAGCTCCGTGTAAAACAATCTCTCTTTTTTTCATATATATTTACATTTTTGATCATGTTTTCTTCAACCATAAAAGTTTCAGACAAAAAATGTCCCTCTCCAGATCGACACTCGACAAAGACATGGAGGCCTCTCCCGCAAAATCCATGTAAAAAACACCTAATAGAACATAGAACAGTACAGCACAGTACAGGCCCTTCGGCCAACGATGTTGAGCCGATCTATTATCCTACTAAGATCAAACTACCCTGCATATCCTATGTTTTACTATCCTCCATGTGCCTATCCAAGAGTCGCTTAAAAGTCTCTAAAGTATCTGACTCCACTACCACTGCTGGCAGAGCATTCCACACGCCCACCACTCTCTGTGTGAAGAACCTACCTCTGACATCTCCCCTATACCTTCCTCCAATCACCTTAAAATTATGCCACCTCGTAATAGTCATTTCCGCCCTGGGAAAAAGTCTCTGACTATCAACTCTATCTATGCCTCTCATCATCTTGTACACCTCTCCTTCTTTGTGTGTTTTTTGCCTTTGCATATTTTTTTGGACTGTATAAGTTCCAAAAAAATGATTTAATTTTTTTTGCTTCTGCTATACAAAAATCATAAGAAATCCATTAAAAAGCCTGCAACTCAGGAGCAGCTGCAAAATCCATGTTACTCTTGGGGAGACAATGGCCTAGAGGTGTTATTGCTATGCCATTAATCCAAAAACTAAGCTAATGTTAACTCAGCAAACTCAGCCAAACTCAGCATGGCAGATGGTGGAATTTGAATCTGGAATTGAGATCTATTGGTGACCATGAAACTATTGTTGATTGTCAGAAAAAAACGATTTGGTTCACTAATGTCTTTTAGGGAAGAAAATCTGCCATCCTTACCTGGTCTGGCCTTCATGTGACTCCAGACCCACAGCAATGTGGTTGACACTTAACTGCCCTCTGGGCAATTAGGGATGGACAATAAATGCTGGCATAGCCAGAGATGGTCACATCCTATGAGTAAATAAAAAAACTCTCTTCACCCCAGAGAGTGGTGAGCCTATAGAATTCACCACCAGAGAAAGCAGTTGAACCTAAAAGATTCTATGATTTCAAGAAGGAGTTAGATACAGCTCTTGGGGCTAAACTGATCAAACGGGATAAGGGGAAAGTGAGAACAGACTATTGAGTTTGATGATTAGCCATGATGATAATGAATAGAGGCGCAGGCTCAAAGGGCCGAA